TTCTCCATCCAAACATGTGGGGTACTCCATTTCACACTTAACTTTAGCATCCGAAGACTGCCCTGATTCTTTGGCAACTTCCACTTCCTAAACAACAAAATAAAAATTAATGTATGGAAAATGTAGCAAAATGCACACAGGTAGATATAATTACTTGGAAGTATGTTCACGAGTCTAATACTTGCAATTTTGTAAATCAAAATAAAGTAGTCAGAAGAGTTTAACTGTAATTTAATCAAAACGTATAACGTAGTAGTTTGATATGTTCTGCTCGCTTTATTCCAGGTATATGACATGTCTTTATCTTGTAAAATTTTGGAATGCAAATGCAATTCCTAATTAATAAGCACAAAAAAGAAAGCAGAAGTTAGTCACAGTAAAAATAAAATTGGTAAGTATTTTGATACATATACATATAGTCGGCGATGTTGCTTTTAAGAGACAGTAAACCCTCCTCCTTTGTTTGGAATTGGGTCCGGTTGGGTTACAGTATAAATGGAGTTCCTTTTGGTTCTTCACATAAGAATCAGCTGTAATAGTTAAGCAAGAATCAACCTTATAGAAAAAGAAATGTTAAAGCAACCATCAAGTTTTTCAAGTATGTCACCAAGCAAGTATCTAAATGATATGAATACATCAGCTATAATACTTTTTTTTATTTTCTGTTAGTGAGCTTTAAATTTTTTTTCACATGCAGTAGTTATGTTCTAAATTATTGGCATGAAAGAACCTAATAGTATTGATGCAAGAAAATGCATCTGGATTATCAAATAATATTGAAGCAAGAAAAAGAAAGTAAGATAGATGGACAAAATAAGACAGAGATGGAGCAGATTATACATGCCATAGAAACAGTAAAATCAAATAGATACAACATCGAGCTATTTATTGCGCATTAAAAAGAACGATAAAAGTTTAGCATGGATTTGCAAGAACAGAAGTTAACCTTTTGTTATTACATAGTAAAGGTGCAAAAAATATGTTTCAACAAGAATCGTTAAATGAATAATAAGCATACAGGTAATGGTAAAAATACCTCTGTAACAACATCAGAGTAATTCCCGGGACGATGTCAAACCTCAAGCCAACTTGTCATGAATTATATGAGCACATTACAAGAATAAAACTTGGGGCCATCCAGTGGAACTATTTATGGAAAATCTTTTTGAATGATTTCATTATACACTATATTGTAAGTTGAATGATCATCATCGCTATCTGTTGTGGCTGATCAAATTAACAGTTTTACACAATTGGAACCTTTTGCTCTTGATAGCACTATGTAGAGCTGACCGTGGGAAAAAACAGGTTCGCGTAAATAAACTCCCACGAAGTCCAATGTTTGACCTTCAGCTTTATTTATTGTCATAGAAAAATATAATCTCACAGGAAATTGTGTGCTTTTGAAAGGAATATGCAATTTTTCATCTGCTGATGATAAAAATAGTATTTTGGGAATAAATACATGCGTATTCTTAAAGTCCCCAATGGAAATTTTAGCACTTGTAACATGTTTTCGAAGATCACAACATATAAGTCGTGTACCATTGCATAAACCTTCACATGGATTTAAATTTCGTAACAACATAACAGGACAATTCTTTTTCAAGGTCAATTTATGGGGAGGCAAACCAGCAGGATGTAAAGTATGCAAAAGATCTTCATATTAACTTTGATCGTTTGCTTCAATAGTCTCATCAAATGCAACATATGTTTTAGGATCACCAAAAAATTGAGCTATGAGCAAATCATTTATTTCATCAACAAAGTCATTTTTGGTTGTCAGAATTACACGCGAAGTTATAGAAGATGCATCGAAAAAACATGTATGTAGATCTGGATAAGTAACTCTAAACAACAGATCTAATGATTGATTTTCAGAAATGAAAGGGATAACAAAATAATTAGGGATTTCAATTTTGTTATGGCTATTTTTTTTTCTTGTCCATTTCCAATTCTCATCAAATATTCACAAAAGGTAGGATCTGTCTTTGCATACATATTTTCTGGTAATCGTAGTTTTTCTAGTTGATTCCAAATTTCAGAATATAATAAGCTTTCTTGAATAAAATCTTCTTTTTTTCCTACTCCTAACAACCGAGAGAGTTTGTATAAAATCACCACCGAAAACGATCACTTTTCCTCCAAATAGAGCATTTGTATCCATTAGATCCTTCAAGAGAATATTAAAAGTTTCTATCACTTTCTTTTTTGCCATAGATACTTCATCCCAGACAATCAGTTTTGCATCACGTATTAAAGCTGCAAGTGCGCTTTGCTTACTAATGTTGCAAGAATATTTTTCATTGATATCAATAGGAAATTTAAAGCGGGAGTGAGCAGTTCATCCTCTTGGGATAATCGAAACTGCAACACCTGAACTTGCTGTTGCTAAAGCGACAAAACCTTTTGATCGTACAACAACTAATAAAGCACGATATGGAAAAGTTTTTCCAATTCCTCCAGGTCCGTCAACGAACAATGCTCCTGATTTGTTAGAAAATATCCTATCAAGAATGGTGTCATACGCTTTTCGTTGTTCAGTATTTAATTTTCTCTCTAAAAGCAAATCTTCTCTAACAATGATATTCTTTCAAACTGAGAGTCATTGGTTTCTCTGATAGCAGCTGAAAGTTTAATTTTCTCAGGAATAAGATTATATTTATTAATATCACGTCTCATAAAATGCAAAACATCATTAATATGATTTAAAGCCATAAAACGAATATCTTTAGCATTCATGTTAGGTAGAATCTTAAAATCTTCGGACATTGAATCTTCAAATTGTTTCCAAAGTTCTGCTAGATTAGAGGGATTACAGTACACTAATATTATTGCAAATAAACGCCTTAAACTCTATGGCATTTGATAATTTGTAGCTTCAGACATACATTCAACCAAGTTGTTATCACAGTGTAACAATCCTCTTTTTTCTGCAGCCTCTCTAAATGTATTATAATATTTGCCGTCAACTTTACATAAGTCCTGATATGATTTTGGTCCTCTAACATTCATTAACAATAATCTAAGATAGTATCTTTCTCCTTCTGTTGGATGACATGTTACAACACGTCCAATTACATTACGTTATTTTTGACGTGTCCATATTTTTTCCTTAAATGACCATACAAAGTACTCAGGAAATTCTTTATATAATAATAACAGTTGCATAACATCTTTATTTGTTCTGTTCATAACAAAGAATTCAGTTAACATTGTTTTTCGAATCATTAGATTACTCAGTATTCTATCAACATTCTCAATACTTTTAAAAGAGACAAATTGTTGTCCTTCTAAATGTAACTGAAGGTGAAAAACACTTGGAGTCATTTCACTTATTGGAAAACGAAGTAATCGCCACGCAGCTTCTGGAGGCGAAACCCATCTAGCAGATTGATATTCTTTTATTTCATCTATGTCTGTATCTGTATCACTAGCATGTATATGAAATGTAATTTTATCGTGTCCTTTGCAAATATATTTGTAAATATATTTCACTACCTTGATATCAGAACAAACTTCAACATTCATATGACAATTATACTTGCATAGCAAAAATGGATTATATGCAACTACCCAAGAATTATCGAGAAACTCACCTCTTGCTTCTACAGCTTCTCCGATTTCTCCTTCTGTATATTGGATATGAATTCTTCCCTTTTAATGTTTGTTCAGCAAAATCTTTTGGATACTTGAATTTGCAGTTATTTTTCATGCAAATATTTATAGGATTTACCTTTCCACAACGAACATGCATCATATGTTTAATAACAAGTAAATATAAATCGCGATCTTTTTTAGAATCAGGCAATTCTGCACAGACAAATTTATCATAAGATTCAGGAGTCAGTAATTTGTGTTCATCAGCAAGTATAATAAGGAAATGAGCATGTGGAAGACCGCATTTTTTAAATTCTATAGTATACATGAATCCAACAACTCTTCCAAAGATTTGTCTTTTTAAAATATCTATCTTTAATTCTTCTACCTTTGCTCTGAAAATTCTAATAACTAAATCAGGTCTGTTCTGTACCTCATCAGCTAGTAACAAATGTTCTTTTATTTCTGGCCAAGAAGGATTACAAGTCATTGTTATAAAGAAATCAGGTTTTCCAAAATATTGTATCAATGCGATAGCATCCATGTATCGTCGGCGCATGTCCCTTGGTCCCCCTATAAATGTAACAGGGAGGAACGTTTTCTTTCCAATTTTAGAGGCTTCTCTTTCACCAAATCTTAAAATATCAAGGAGTCTTTGCAAGAATTCAATTCTAAATAAATCTGGATTAAATGAGAAGAAGTCTAATCTTTGTGTTTCAAGTTTTATATATACATCTACTATAAACTGTTGGAATATTCTTCCACAATGTATCACTTCATTTGTTTCATTATCTCTTATTTGAAATTTGTAACAGTAATACTCTCGACAAGACACTGTATCTCTTTTTCGTTTTCCTTTTTGTAATGATTCGTCTTCCATATCAAGAAATCCATCAACTGAACATATGTTTGATATATTGGGCAACTATTCATGTTCACAGTAAGCTGTACGTTTCGTCACATTATTTGTTTGAATAATATTTTTGATTCTACAATGCCATCCATTTTCACCGAAGGGAAATAATAACGGATATTGCAATGGATCATAACATCTATAATAATAATGTACTAATTGAGCTCTATTACTGTGGGTATAAATTCAAATATGTGGTGCAAAAATGTCTGTAGGATTTTCTTCAAGCCATAATGCTGCAACCTCTGATGAGCTGGGTAAGTTATATGTCCGTTGATCTAAGGTTGAGTGACATTTAAGAGCAATATAGAAATCAGATAATTGGGGAACATTTAAGAGATATTTTAGGAAAATAGTGTGTGGATTTACTTTCAATATATCCATCAACTTTTTCATTATTGATTCATTAATTCTTGTCGAACAAGCCATCCTATTAGCTAGTTCATTATCATGATCATAGAAATACAACTGTAAATTCCTGGGTTTTTCATTCGAAGGAATTAAATCATCTATAAAATGATACATTTGCCCCTGGACTTTAAATGTGTAGATACCGCAATTTCTTCTCGCTAGCTCTTTTGTCATACTTTACACCAAGTGAAGTAAATGCAAACATGTTGTTGTACGTTCTAATATAAGTTCGAAAGTTTTCAGATTCTTCAGTATTTCCAAAGTATAACTCTGATAATTCAGGTGGCATTTTATGAGATGTCAACCTTATTGCACCACTATTACAGAAAAATCTCGGAGGTTCATATTCAAACCTCTTTGCACGACAGTATTGGTAGTGCGACACATTTTTTAGAGCAACATAGTCACTTCGTTGCTCTTTAGCAGCCAGACACACCTTTCTAGCCCGGCTATGAACTGAATATGTAAGAAGTATCATTAAATAAAAAACACGAAGGCATACGTATGGTGGACATTATTATAATATAAAGTTTATGCAAACCTTTGATTGGAATAGCGTTCAAGGAAACAGGAGGTAGTTTAGATGTACCCGACGTGGGCCCTTATATAAAAATATTCACAGATTACAGTAATGTACAAACAATATGTTATTCTCAAAGAAAGTATAATCTAAAGGCAGGTTTACCTGTTTCACGAATGATAGGGGGATCCAATATAGACTTTTCTTTTTCTAGATTATCCATCACTGTAGTCGTGCAAGTTTGAAGACTGGCAGCTAGTAAATTGAATAGCCAAGACGTTTAAAAGCGTACAGTGAAGCCACAGTAGATGCAAAATAAAATGTAAAACATCATGTGGTATTTTTGTATTTTAGTTTATAGGCACATATAAGATAAGTAAGATATCATACTCAATCTCCAAGCAAAATTAAGAAGCATCCTTGTCCTAATAATATATAGTGGATAAACATGAGTACAACAATATAACCTTTTTAACGAAGAGAAAGATATGGTTACCTATTTCACAAATGATAGGGGTATCCAATATACCCTTTTCTTTTTTTAAATTATCACGCAATGTAGTCAGGAAAGCTTGATGTTTGGTACCTGGTAACACAACAGTGAAGGCGTTTAAAAGCGTACAGTGAAGGTTCAACATGTGCTAAATAGAGTGCAATAGAGCACGTACTATTTGAGTATTTTAGCTTGTAGGCACATAAGATAAATAAGGTATTATACTAAGTTTCCAAGCAAAATACATAAGAACCATTGTATTAATAACATATGATTTCTAAATATGAGTATAACAATCTAACCTTTTTCCGCAAGGGAAGGAGGTTCTCGTATGGTAAGAGCAGTTTGTTTTAGAAATCCTGTTTTGTCCCAAGATAATGTTGCCTGCTCTGGGACAACAACAATTAGACTTTCAAGAAGGCGGTGCTTTGAAAATTTTTGTCTTCTCATGCGTCGCGATAGCAACATCGCTTCCCTTATACGAGTAGATATTTGGCTCTGCGTATCACGCCGTTTGAGCTGCATTGCAACATTCTTTTTTTCTGTGTATGAGTACTTATTTGGTTATTTGGAATCCATCTGTTTATGGCAGCTCAATTTTCCTTTTCACCTATAAATATTTCCAGCAGAAGTTCTCATCAGATGTTTAAAAAAGACATAAATTATATTTTTAATATCACGGAATACAATATCTATTAAATATTCTATCTAGGAGACCAAAAAATGGTATACTGATCACTGAGGGCTCATGTCTTAGAGACATGTCATACATCACTGGCAAATAAATTGGCTTTATATTAATTTGTATATCCTTAAAAATCCTCATTAATAGTTTTGGTTATGAAATCATCCTAGTAAATCCACCAAAGCGTTCATTTCAACATCTTCTTTTCTTCTTCTTCTTCTTCTTCTTCTTCTTCTTCTTATTATTATTATTATTATTATTATTATTATTATTATTATTATTATTATTATTATTATACCTAATACCAGGCTGAATCCTTATCTAGTATAGTCATCATAAGTATATGTGTACTTTGCAATTGCACAAACAGGGTAAAAATATTGTTCTTAAATTTTTTATAGCTATTTGGAGCAAATAGAATAATCTGCTTAGCAGTGAATATATTTTTTTATCTAATCAATTACGTATAATGTTTGTGCAACCATTGTTCAGTGTGATCATCATACACATTGTATGATGCAAGTTACAATCTCACTGAAGACAAACTGTGGTAAATTAAATTCGACTTCGATGTATGAAAGCTCCAGAAACATTTGGACAAGAGAAATCAATGTTTCTGGATAGGTTCTTCACCACTAAACCTTATTTCACTAAGGTAATTCCATTGATCAGAATTAGCTTATTGATCTATCTTTTTGTTTTGAATGTATAGTGCCAACACTGTAGCAGATCTACTTGTTAAGCATGACATGACTTTAGCTCCTTGCGCAAGCCATCAACACTGTCATCCTCTACATTATGAAGAACCCCTTCTTTATGCTTTACTTATTTTCAATAATGACTGTTCCGAAACTTATATAGCCGGAACAGCCTCCGATGTAAAACCTCTACTACTTGTCTTTCTTAACTTTTAGCTAGCACATCTCTGCGTTAAAGAACTCACATAAGATAGATTTTGGATCAACACCTGAACACAAATTCCCAACGTTCTTGAAATATGATAATTTTTACAGCAACATTTCATATGAAAATTTGAAAGAATATCAAACCTTTAAAGCAAGAACTGAGTGAAACAAAACAAACTACTATTGAAAAGAGACAATGATAATCATCTATGAATGACAAAAAAGTATTTTCCATAATAAAGTTACAACGTTTATCAGCTTTAAAAAAACTTGCAAAAAGTGAAGATTATACTTTAGCCTTTGACAGACCCAGGTTGACATAGGAGAGACCAGATAATTGCTACAAAGTCTTCTTGCACTACATTTTTAATTATTTCGATCAAATAAAGCCACGTTAACTCTTTAATATTGAGGATACTATGCACCAACCAAAAAAAATATTGATGCCAGAAATCCATCAGAAGAAGAACATGAATAATACCAAGAGGCACTTTAGACTAGCTAATAGCGACTTTGAACAATTCGTTCAACTCTTTATCTTTGGCTATAGAATTATGTTAATGTTATGCCCTTTCATATTGAACCCAGCAAACAGATCTACATCTATAATTTTTTCTTTAATTCAGGAAAGAATTCAATTTGAGACTTTGCATTTATATAAGCAGGCAGGGGTTAATCCTTTTGCTGCTAATTCTTTATTCTAGCAGTCAGCTCTCTCTCTTCTAATTATGCTTTCATTTGCTATTTCTGTTTATTTTCTTAGTTGATTTAAAGTGTTGAGCATATATGTTGAAAAATTCTAAGTGCATAAAATAAGTATATGCATGTAACCTATAGGAAAGCGAGAATAATGTTTCATCAAAAATTAATTTTCTCCTATCTATGTTCTATATCAAGAATTTATGATACTACCATACCCAAATAACTATTTAGTAGCTTGTACTACTAAAACAACATCTTCTTCTACTCGTTCTAAACATCCTCTTCTACGTAAGTGAAATAACAAGACTTTGAGAATATCTATCGACTTTTACATATTCAGCAGCTAATCGATGTGAACAAAAAAATAAACTCTATTGAAATTTCTCTCCTTTTTGAGAAAAAAATACAAGGCATGGATGGTTTAGTTCGATTTGTACTGTCTAATTGAAAGAAAAAGTAGTTGTTAGCATTTTATCGTAGGTTTCCCCAACTATTTCATACTCGAGAAATTAAACCCAAACAATAGTAGAAATCTAAAAAAAATGCCCAATTCATTCAACAATTGCCTCAAACACATAAAGAGCAAAGTCAACGGACAGATTAAAATGTCTGAGCAATAAAGACCTAGCATGCCATAAAGATTAAATAGAGAAACATGGGCGAAGAAGAATAGGAGGAAAACTCACAAGAAACAATGATCCAAATGGAAAAATTCACAAAAGTGCAAAGATAAGATCTGCAAAGCTTTTCTGATAATGGTGATACTGAATTTGCAATAAACTGGTTGTTAACCTTTTGATACAAATGACCTGCATTTGCCAAGTATCTCAAAGAGCTGCCAGCTTAGTACCGATAAGAACAAAGAGTGAGAAGAGAGAAGCGAAAGAAAAGCCTGTACAGTGCGGTGATTGCTAGGTTTTGAAGTAAAACATTAAAAATTAGATGAAAAGATAAAATTATCCTTGAAGTGTGAAGCAAGAATGTCGTCCAGGTGTGTGCTAAGTCCCTCTTATTAGATAGGAGAATAAGAACATTTATGAAGCGTTCCACTTTAAAATTCTGTATTTTATATTTATAATTTATTCTTATTAGAATTTTTGGTTAAGTTTATTATTAGTTATACAATTAATGATGCATATATAACTTATTTTATAGACATGAGAGCACATCATCTTGAACCCTCCAAAAATACAAACTAGTCGAAAGTGAAGAAAGAGTTTCTCCTTTGTCTGATATAACAAATGGTGAGTGATAATGTCACGATCCGGATTTTTCACCCTTGGGAGTCGTGATGGCGCCTACTAATGTGAGCTGGGTAAGCCAATTATTGAACCATCTACCTTTTTACCAATTTTATTCTCTTTACCAATTACGAAGAAATAATATTTAAACGACGGAATATAACATAAGCGGAAGAAAACAATAAGCCATCTGAACATAAATATCTATTACAACTGTTTGAGTCTCGACTACCCAGAACTAGTGTCACAGTTTCACAGGCGGTCTAAGAATTCTACAAATAAAGGTCTGAAAAAAATTTAATACGACACTGTCTCTGGAAATGCATGTAAGAAACAGGAAGGTAAATAGAAAGGAGACGCCAAGGCCTACGGACGTTTGCAGGGTTACCTCGGGTCGCCTGATGAACAAGAGTCAGCAATCTTACTGCGGTCCGAAGTCTACAACACTGGGGTCTGTACAAAAGAGTGCAGAGTGTAGTATCAGCACAACCGACCCCATATGCTGGTAAGTGCCTAGCCTAACCTCGACGAAGTAGTGACGAGGATAGGACCAGACTACCAAATCAACCTCTGCAATTTAACTATATACAGCGGAAAAAGAAGTATAGAAAGAAACAGTCATATACAGTCAAGTATGGGAGGAGGAAAACACATGTTGCGGGGAAACATCGAATAGTAACAGAAGAGCAACAAATAAGTATGAGGTTCACCACAGTTCAATTGAAAATAGGAAGGGAAAATCATGCTGCGGGGTACAACAAGTATCAACAGGAAACCAACAATCTAGTGTAGAGAAACCGTAACACAGTTATCAATAAAAATTAGGAAATCAAAGACAAGTGCACGGAATCACCCTTCGTGCTTTTACTCTCTCTCACCAAAACAATACACCGCATCACCCTTCGTGCTTTAACACTCTCTCACCAAAATAATACACGGCATCACCCTTCGTGCTTTACGCTCTTTCTCACCCAAGCAACAATCATAAGGCAAATAGGGTAAGGGAATCTATAACTTCGAAATAAGATCAAGTAACAACAGAAAATTAGTAAATAAACGTAAAGGACAACATAACTTAATTATCAGCAAGAATCAGGGAAAATCAAGGACAAGTGCACGTCATCATCCTTTGTGCTTTTACTCTCGTCCTCACCATAAGAATCAGTACTATAGGCACGAAATGGTACATCGTGCGGCACAACATCACCCTTCGTGCTTTGCACTCTTTCCTCACCATGGAATCAATATAATGGGCACAGAATGGTACATCGCGCGACACGACATCACCCTTCGTGCTTTACACTCTTTCCTTACAAAACAAACAATGCACGACATCATCCTTCGTGCTTTAACTCTCTTCCTCACCCAAACAACAATCACAAATAATAGGGCAATGAAATAAAGAAAATTGCAATAAAAATCCCGGCAAGGGAACAACATCAATAACATCAACATCCCGGCAAGGGAGATAACAATTAAATCAACAACAGCCCGACAAGGGTGACAACATAATGATCTCTTCCCTTTCTCATTTTTTTACTTCACGATTCACTTCACAACTCCAGCCAATACTCTAGAGGTTCAATTATCACTTATACCTTCACAACTCATTTCACAACTCGAGTCAACGCTCTAAAAGTTCAATTGTAACTTATACTTTCACAATTCGTTATACAACTTGAGTCAATGCTCCTCAATGTTCATATGTCACAATTCATTCCACAAACTTCTCACAACAAATAGAAATCAACTCTAAAGCATGGATAATACAACAAAGTCATGAAAATCACAATATAAGACTCACGGGCATGCTTGACACCAACGTATAGATACTCGTCACCATGCCTATACATCGTACTCAACAATTATCACATAGCAAATAGGACTCGACTCCTAATCCCTCAAGCTAAGGTTAGACCAAACACTTNCGGCATCACCCTTCGTGCTTTACGCTCTTTCTCACCCAAGCAACAATCATAAGGCAAATAGGGTAAGGGAATCTATAACTTCGAAATAAGATCAAGTAACAACAGAAAATTAGTAAATAAACGTAAAGGACAACATAACTTAATTATCAGCAAGAATCAGGGAAAATCAAGGACAAGTGCACGTCATCATCCTTTGTGCTTTTACTCTCGTCCTCACCATAAGAATCAGTACTATAGGCACGAAATGGTACATCGTGCGGCACAACATCACCCTTCGTGCTTTGCACTCTTTCCTCACCATGGAATCAATATAATGGGCACAGAATGGTACATCGCGCGACACGACATCACCCTTCGTGCTTTACACTCTTTCCTTACAAAACAAACAATGCACGACATCATCCTTCGTGCTTTAACTCTCTTCCTCACCCAAACAACAATCACAAATAATAGGGCAATGAAATAAAGAAAATTGCAATAAAAATCCCGGCAAGGGAACAACATCAATAACATCAACATCCCGGCAAGGGAGATAACAATTAAATCAACAACAGCCCGACAAGGGTGACAACATAATGATCTCTTCCCTTTCTCATTTTTTTACTTCACGATTCACTTCACAACTCCAGCCAAT